CCCTACAAGATAAAAGGCCCCGGCCTGAAAAGTGAGTGTCACAATAATGAAAATGTGACTTTAGCCCAAGGCACTGAAGCAAAGCACAGGCAACCTGTTTGTTGATTGGAGGGGGGGAACACAAAGAGAGCTCAGAGAAGGTCAGTAGAAGGGAGGAAATGGAGGGTCTAGTTCTGTGCTGCCTCCCACACCCCCTGCTCTCATTGCAGATTGAAAAAGTGATAAATATGCATAGGTTTGTCTTCAACAGTGAATGCCTTTGATGGCAGGGTCTAAAGTTCTCTATCTCTGCAGCAAATAGGATGAAAATAACTGTCTGAGAATGTTTACTTCTTGTGTGTGAACAATGTGAGCCTTTAATGAGCAGAGGAGACTGTGCAGGAAGATTTGTTCATATACTGTATCTCTCCCAATAAGTTCTCTGTAGTCACAGCTTCTTTTCAATGACTGGATGAAAATTAAGTGAAGCAGGAAATGTCAAATTGTTCTGGGATCAGTTTCAGAAGCTTTATATTCAGTGGTCATTAAGTTTCAGTCCATATTGTTCACAGCTGGCTGCTTATATGTGGTTAGAAATAAACATCTCAATTTTACATCATTTTATGAACCTAAAATTATTGTAGGCTCAAAGAGGAATCCAGAGAGATTATGCTTGATCTATTCTCAGTGTTCATTCATTCATTCATTAGCCCTGCGATGGATTGGCGACCTGTCCAGGGTGTACCCCGCCTTCGCCCGATTGCTGGCCGGGATTGGCTCCGGCCCCACCCGTGACCCCGTTCAGGGACTAAGCGGTAGAAAATGAATGAATGAATGAATGAGAAGGAAGCCTTTTCTCATCTCAGTTTGGAAGTTTATGTGTATGTGCCTCTCAGACCTACAGGCCTCCCAGTCCTTTGAACACTACACTATATCAAACAAGGCTATGGACTACAGGATCCTGCAGATGGACGAGGACCAGGACAGGATGTACGTGGGCTGTAAAGACCATGTCCTCTCCATGGACATCAACAACATCACCCACGACACACTTAAGGTCGGCAGATGCTTAGTGTTGGTGTCTGTGATTAATACTTTTTTACTGGCTAACCCTAACCCTAACTGTAGCATCTCATTTCTCTCACTACTATAAAGGAGAAAGTAAAATGTTTATGCAAGGAATAGCATAAAATTGCTGCAGTGGATATTATTCTAATCTGTGCAATGATATGCAAATTACCATACACTTTCAATGATCAGTGCAATTTTGGGGTTATTCAAAGGAGTCATAGAAATGCTCAAGCTTTCTGATAACTGATTCTGTGTGCAGTGAAGGAGTTATCGTCAGTGTAATTGACAGTCATGAAATGCATAAACAGATGGGAAAGCATTTAGGTTCCCCCAGGGAGCGCTGCACCACATCCATTTAAATTGCTTGATATATTCATTTAGCTAGACCTTTAAGAACCTCTCCCAGGTTTGAAAACACACATTCTCCGCAACCCGTAGTTGACTGTAATCACTGACGCTGAAATTTCAATCACAAAGAAACTTTTTGAACATTTGTTTGAATGATTTTTCACAAAATTTCCCTGTGATTTCTATCTGCATATGGAGGATTTGATCATCTTGTTCATATTCATGTTATGGCTTATTCAACTTGTTATTGGTTTCCTATGCTTGTTTCCCCACATTGTAATTTAAATGCTGTCTTGTTTTGCCACTAGGTGTTTTGGCCTGCGTCTCCCAGCAAGATAGAAGAATGCCAAATGGCAGGCAAGGACCCTACAGTAAGAACAGCAGACCTTCCATAACCTCTTTGTGGATTATTGGAGCCTTTTAGGAGTCAAACAATAATAATAATAATGAATAACCCATAAAGAGACCTTCAAATATTATACTACTATATCATATAATATATAAGGTGCTACACAGAGGACATTACATTAATATGACTCTTTTCTACTTGTGCTACAGTAGCTTAGCATTTTAGCTAAATGCTAAGTTAAGCTGTTTAAATGCTCAAAGTATTTAACATTATCCCATAATTGTTATGTGTACAATTGAAATGTGTGTGCTGTCTCCTGAGATTTCCCTCACTCACATCTGTGAGCTTGTATCAGGTCCATCCACATGCATAGCAAGCAGCAGGTGTTTACAGGGTCATGACTGGCTTGGAGTCCCCCTAGCATAGGAGCAGTTTGTCAGGATGAGAGCGGAGTGTGGGAGGATCCAAGGCCATGGCTCACTGTAGAAAAATAAACTAGAATCAAAGCTTGCAAATGGGGCGCAGCTCATTAATAGAGAGATTTCATAACCTGGCCTCATTCTAAGCAGCACTTGTTAGCTGCAACAAGATTTAATGAAGACATAGAGTACAGTCAGACTCAGAAGACTGATTGCTCCTCTGCCTCTGTTCTCCTCTAATTGGGCTCTTCTGATACAGACTAGACTGCAGTGCAGAGGACTGGGGAATAGACAAAGAAAATGAAGGTTTAATTTTAAAGAAGAAAACGTCATAAGTAATTGTTTACATAAATTCAAGACCTAATTTAAAGTAGCAGTACAAGTTACCTAAAACAGCATCACAGTACGAGTAGCGCTGCCTGTTTGTCCAACAGCAGCTGGGGTAATGGAGCCATGGTTCTGTAAAACATGCTGCTGCAGAAATAGCAAAGAAGCTCATTCCAGTCACTGAGTGAATTGTGCTGCTCTGACTCACGGCACACTGGCTCCCACAAATATTTGGGTGAGCCATCTCTGTGTGGAGCCAGTCAGTGGCCCCATCTCCGTTCTGTCATTCCTGTTTGTTCTTACTGCCCTGCCAGGTTCTCCTCTAACATTTCAGTTTCTGTCTGACTGTTGTTCCTTTTTATTGGTCATGTTTTCCAGCTCTTTTGACTTCTGTTTCTTTTATACCGCAGTAAATTTCATTTTTGTCATCCATAAAGCACCTCTCCTTTCTCATGGGTTTCTTCATTTGAATCAGAGCCCTCGTCCATCTGTTATGGTTTTCCTCCCCATCTGTATATATTAAGTTCTTCTTCTCCAATAGGAGAAGCCGAGCTCCAGAGAGTGGCCACACACTGTTTGCACCAGAGGGTGGCAGTGAAGGAGAAATATAGAGCAACTAGGGTGATTAAGTCAGCTTGCTGCTCGCTCAGAAGCCTCTGCTTAAACTTGACTTCATCACCACTTGAACTTAAGGCCATGAGGCAGCAGGCTGTTTATTTGGCACAGTCATCAAGCTTGTATGTGTATAGGAAATAAAACAGGCCACACATGCAACAGAGACAGTCCATGTATATGTGGCTGTTTGAGACTGATACCAGATATGGGTGGAGGCCCATGGGCGTGTGAGGGTTAAGGAGGGTGTAATGAGATGAATCAGTGATGAAAGACGAGAAAAAAACAAAAAGAGTGAATAAGATGGAGGAAGATCAGTAACAGTGAGGGGTGTGTGATGGCGAAAACTCACTTGTTTATTGTCGATAGCTCTCACCGGAGGTGTGCTTAAACCATGAGTTGCAGCAGCTGCCATTCCTGCAGCCAAGGCCAAGTTCCTGACAGCTCCATGAATACATGTTCCTCTCCTCCCCAATGTCTTTCCTCTCTCTTTCTTTCTCCACCTATTTTCTGCAGGCTCAGTTTTAATTAGTCACAAAGTCCAGCCCTTCTGCTGCTGTTGGGGTTTGGGAAGTGGAAGCAGACGTGTAAGGAGATCAGCAATTAGACTTATAGTACATAGATATATCACATATACCACTGACACTCTTTTTCCACTGGCCTTAATATCAGACCAGAGAGCTCTGGGGTTGTCTGATTGTGCAGCATGTGAGATACATGTGAGATACATATGAATTACTCCTTTATACGGAATATGATACATGAGGAGAGACAATTAAGTTGTGGATTTGTTGTTCACCATAGCAGTCTACCAGAAAATCGACCTTAATCTCCGTTAGGTCTGTTTTAGTGCATTGTGCCATAGCTGAAAAGTAAACGGTAATTATTTTTATAATGCTGTAATGACAGCAGAATGGACTGGAGCAGTGTTGCCATCTGCTTTTCATTGCTCGGGAGGCTGTACACACAAATACAAATACAGATAAAGATAACTTTAATGCAACACCACTGTACATAATGTTTGCCGGACAGTGGCAACTGCAGCTACAAGTAAAAACTATGAGGTAATGCCAAAAGATAATCTGTATTGTTACAGTTCCATAAATGGAGAAGAGTCACAGACAGTGAAGTGATTCATGGAGTATTTATCTACATTTAGCTAACATGTGCTAGTATTAGCCATGCTAGGCTACTGATCAATCCAGACTCTATAAGGCTTTGACAGCAAAACTCTTCAATGGTTTGGTTGTTGCCTGTGAATTCACTTTTTCATTTTTAAGAGCTACAGTGTTTGATTTGTGCAAAACCAAAATACAATAATCTTATAAAATGTTCATGATAATTTACTGTAGGTTCAACAATTAGTTGGAATGAATCTGCATAATGTTTTGATTGTTTCTCATGTGTCTTTTTGTCTGTTTGTATTTTCCAGCACGGCTGTGGGAACTTCATCCGAGTGGTGCAGCCTTACAACAGAACTCATCTGTTCATGTGTGGCAGCGGAGCATACAGTCCTGTTTGTGTTTACATCAACAGGGGCCGCAGACCAGAGGTGGGCACACGATGACAGATTCAGTAAAGAAACAAACATTGGCCTGATGCTGAACACCACAGCCACTACTATTAAGTAGATTATTAACTCTGGTCATCCATTAATAGGAGACGCTATGGTTTGTGAACTCAACACTAACATGATCTCAGAAGTGAAAAAGAGTCCACGTGATGTACAGTAGTATTATTACGATTATGTGAAGGGGGGTTGATGTAAAAACCTTTTGTAAATCTAAGTATAAGAAGTGGTTTCTTTATGGGTATTTCAAAAATAAAACTAGTTATGCTGAGTAAATGAAATTAGTGTACATGTTACTCGGGACAGTAACTCTCCACCTTCTTTTTCAAATCAAATCAAATAAATCAAATGTCACCCCTGTGCTAACAAGTAATAGGAACACTGCCACCCAGAGCAAGTCAGCAAAACTCATTTACTGTGACAGGCAATAATCAGAGAAATCCCCAAGAGATGTGGATGGAAAGTATTTTTTAACACATTAATTATCTAAAACAAAATCCAAAATGTATCTGATGGATAGCTACAGTAATATGCTGTGGGGTTTCTGTGTACCACTATCTGCTGGAAGGAGTACAATTGAGAACCACTCAGTCCTGGACATGGATGAGCTGGATGAGAACCAGCACACATGAAATTACTGTAATCTCATCAAAGCTGGTCTTTTCCTGAAATTAAATTCATGTGCAGCATCTTCACCACCATAGCATATTCTTTTACTGGTCTTCTAAGAATTTAAATGTCACCATATTATCAGAAAACTGTGAAAGAGGTTTAACGTTATATTTTTATGTAATTATTTTAATGTCGTATGAAAGGAGATCCTCAGGAAAAGAGGGAGAAAATGGAGCTAGTGTCAGGGGTGGAGGGCTGTTTTCTGGGCGCTCTGCTCTCATCTCCGGCCACACTGCTCTGGAAGTGAGAGTGAGGAAGCCCTCCAGGAGAAAAGTGCTCACTGGGTGAATAGCATTTAGCCACAGACTGCCAACCACTGCCAAACACTAATAAGCAGAGCGAGAAAGCACCCGACCAGGCTCTTTCCGCACTGTGGTGCCTTTTGTCATTCAGGGGTTTTGTTTGAAAGGCAGACTGCTCTGTTTGCAACTTCTGAGTTCAAACATGTCCCAAAAAAGGGCTCTGCTAAGTATAACAAGCTGCTGCAGTGGGAAGCTGACACAGAGCTCACAGCATGAACCTTTGCCCTGAGAACGTGCCTCACACTATTCTGTTGTTTTGAAACTTGATATGATGGCTGCAACAGACAGGTTATTTGCACAATGTTTTGTGTTTGCAATTTTGCATTTTGCTTTTCAGATGCACAGTGCAATAAATGTCCATTTTACTCTTTCAGTTTGTTTTTAAAGAGTCTTTAAATCTAAGTGTGGAATAACTCAACTTGTTTCAAAATTTTCATACAAACCTTTATTAATATAAAGTATATTTTAAAGACCTTCTCCAATTTTAAGACATAAAAATGCTTTCCAACTAAAAGTTTGATCGCCTGCTTACAAATCTCTGAAGCACAGTTACACAGATGAAAGTGAAAAAGCCTTATAGTGTCAAAGTCTGCACATCATTTTGCAGAGTGAAGGTCAAACATCCGAGTGAGCTAACTACAAGCAAAACACATTTTTTAATGGATGATTCATTGCACCATCAAATTAGCCTTTTAAAGGGATACGCTTTTGCAGTGCAAACATTACCTACAGAACCTGGAGGGGGGAGAAGAAAGTCCAGCTGGAGTCAGTCCACCTACAGAACCTCTTGGAAAATAAACATACTGTATTTTGCATTTGGAAAAAAGTACAAATTCAGTTAATGATGGAGCTGCACCAACACCATGTGCTAGGGCAGGAAGTTAAATAATTTACCCAGGTGTCTGCACTGTCACCTGGAAAGGGGTTCAAACTTGGCAGTGTTTCCATCTGAGATGGAAGAACGTCTAGCCAACATATTAGCAAGGAAACTCCTCTGCTCCTTCCAAATGGAATGTTCTTTACAGTGTCCAACATGGGACAGCTGATGTAGACCAGGATCATTTCTTTGCTTCCATAAAACCAAACACGATGGAAAGGTGAGCAGGGCAACCTAGTGGCACATTTGGTACGTGCGGTTTTATTGTGCTGGAAGCACTAGATGGAATAACTTGTCATCTAAAACTGTTTTTAAAATCTCTGACTTCCTCTTTTCTCCGCGACAGGAAAAAATTTTTCACATTGACTCAAGGACTGACTCTGGAAAAGGGAGATGCTCCTTCAATCCTCAAGTGAATACAGTCTCTGTCATGCTCAGTAGGTGGTACCTTCTCTTACATGATTTTGGTCCTTCAAAACCCTTCTAGTCTAATTGAACCTTTCTAAGTATCAGTATGTGCTGTATGTTAGCTATATTATAGTTTAAATTTATCACACTAATAAATGAGAATTCAGATTTTTATTCAGCTTTACTATGCATCAAACACAGAGGATGGTTTTCCTTCAGATCACGTTGCAGCCTCCCCAGTTCTCTTTGATCTGAGATTTTATGAGGGGGCTGGGTTGCTGTTAACACGCCTAAAAGCCACATGTTGCACCCTCAGCTCTGCTTTCTGACACCTGGCCTTCGCCATGTCAGCAGCAGCACTGCCAGCTAGTGATTGCTTTCAGAGAAGCCCAGGGCAAGGGGGCAAGAAAGAGAGTACTCTGCCAAATAGAGCAGAGGGCAAAGGCAATGCTGTGGAAGCAATGATGCAGCACTGGAAGCCTCAGTGGACAATGTGCCCTTCGTTTCCCTGTCCTTATGTTTTAGACCCTCTGTAGCTGTCTGAGCACTGTCAACATTCACTCCATAGCAAACCAGGTTGAATGTGGGCCACATACTCTTAATCTCCTCCAAACCTACCACAGCTCCTCCTGAAACATATTGTTTGAAGCTGATTCATGATGACGTGAGAGTAAAGGAATGCTAAAAAACATGAAGCTGGCTGTTTATTAGCAGCAGAACCACAGACTGTTGTTAAATCTGTGTCCTTCATTAAATAATCAGAATTTTATTATCTTTATTGTCCATTCTTGTGTCTACAGAATGTGTGAGTTTGTTACTGATTTGTGTATATGTGCATCCCTGTAGACCAGGAGTTGTTCTCAGGCATGTACATTGACTTCATGGGGACAGATGCTGCCATCTTCAGGAGCCTGACCAGGAGAAATGCAGTGCGGACAGACCAGCACAACTCAAAATGGCTTAGTGGTGTGCATACATACATTCAAATTCAGTTTCAGTGTACATTAATTCAGTTACTTATTGATGTAAATTTTTAAATATTTTTTTATTTAGAGCCAATCTTCATTGATGCCCAGCTGATACCAGATGGAACAGACCCCAATGATGCCAAACTGTATTTTTTCTTCCGTGAGAGGCTGACAGATAACAATGGAAACACTAAAAACATCCATACCATGGTGGCCAGAGTGTGTCCAGTAAGTGTTTCACCCTTTGTCCAATAAAGCTATACAGCATGTTTTGTGGTTTCAAGCTGCTATGTGCGGCCTCTGCCACCAGAACGACATTGGAGGACAGCGGAGCCTGGTGAACAAATGGACCACCTTCCTTAAAGCCAGGATGGTGTGTTCTGTTCTGGAGGAGGACGGCACTGAAACACACTTTGATGAACTAGGTGAGTTAAACAGAGGATCATACTTTCAGTATTACACTCTGTTATTGTGGTTTTACATGTTATATTATTTTTGTCTGTTTGTTGTGTGACATCCAGGCTCCATTTTGTTTCCATGGTTTGTGTAGCAAGTTTCAAGTAAACTCCCCTGAAATCTTCCTTTTTTAATGTTTTGAGGTTTCAAGCTATTGCTTTCTTCCCAAACATCCATGGAAGGTCCTCTGTTTGGTCAGGATTAGGGCTGTAGCTCTCAGTTTTCATAGCAGCTCTTCTGTTGCTTCTGGTTACACTGTATTTGTTTGTGAGCATATTACTGTAGTCCTTTCTTAGACCTCTACACTTTTTCATTCAGGTCATCAGACTTCATTTATCAGCAGGTGTAGTTATTAATTCATGCGTTCTTCAGTTTTTGGCAACCGTACCTGCAGGGATGAGGTGATGGGGGATGCAGGGAATTTGCAAAAAAAAAAAGTATTGTGCATTTGTCTATGTCTGCACACGTGTTTCCTCTTACAGAAAGTGTGTTTTTGCTGGAAACCGATCAGCCCCAGGGCTTGTTGGTGTTTGGAGTCTTCACATCTACAAGGTAAGGCTGACAGCAATGAAGCCAACTGTAACATTTCTGCAGGCTTTAGTGGTTATATTAACCATTGACCAGATATCAGCAGGTGAGGGTGTGCTTGTTAAAGGGTCTGCTACTTAGAGATGTCATATTGCAGAATGGCTTATGATGAACTGTCACAGCGTCCTGGTGGCTTCACCATATGGCTTTAATTTTGATGTTCTTTTCTTATGGTGGCAAACAGTCATGCACCATTTTGCTGACCAAGTACAAGATATACATTTATAGTACACATTTTGCTACAGAATATATATTGCAATGTTGGCTGTGTTCCACAAGCAATGGGAGTTTCGAGTGCAGAGGGAGTCGATGCAACCAGAGCCGTGTTTCTTATAGAGTTTCAGAAAAAAAGCAAGGAATATTTCATCTTCTTAACACAGACAGGCAAGCAGTTAGATCAGCCTATACTGAGATAAATGAGGACATTTGTTTGTCAGTTTGAAAGACAAAATTGCAAATGCTGTAAGTGTATGATAAGTGGTTCAGTTTAAATGTGAATTTGATTAATGTCTAGATTATCTTTTACTGTTTAACAACTGTTCTTTATGATTTGTTTTACGTAGACTTACCAAAAAGACCATCAAATGGGATACTTTTGACCCAATTTGGGAAAACTGGTTCAAGTGAAAGTCATAACGCATTTCAAAGTATGCAAGGGACCAGTACCTCAGGATCATAGAAAGGCTACAGCAGCGTATCCTGGCTCAGAGAGCACAGCCAAATCAAACAGCTCCATCTTATTCCTGTCTCCACACTGTGTTTGCTTCTCTACTTTGTCCAATATGCTTCTGATGCCCTTTTTCGATGGCATCTTTTATGTGTTAAGCAGTGTGGTTTTCAGTGACTGGGCCAAACAACGTCAGACCACTGAGAGGGTAATAGGTGAACTGTCTCCTCTGGGGTGTGGCAGCGGTTCCACCCAGACAGTATGACTCGCACATCCTCAGAAACAGCGATCCTGGAAAACAGCTGCAGATATTTGACCTGGGTGGGTCTTGTGGTTGTGTTTCCACTGCTGTGTCTCACTGAAAGTATGCATCTCATTTCCTCAGCTCCGTTTTTAAAGGATCAGCAGTGTGTGTGTACAACATGGCAGACATCCTCACAGTGTTCAATGGGCCCTTCGCTCACAGAGAGGGGCCCAACTTTCAGTGGGTGGCCTTCCAGGGCCGCATTCCTTATCCAAGGCCGGGAACTGTGAGTTTGTTTTTAAGTCCTTCCTTCTGTCATTCACTGGTTATTTCAGTGCATGATTCCTTTTATTGTCTATGTTCTTATTAAATTATTTCGCATAAATAAGTACATATATTGTATGTTATCAGGGGTTGGACAATTCTATAACTTTTTTTTGTAGATTGTGAAATTGATGCAATATTGTACTTGGCTCAAGAATATATCTTGTTAGTTCACTGTGGGTTAGGATGTGAGAGGAACTTTCTTTTTACACTGTCTCTGGCTCTCTAGTGTCCTGGAGGAGCCTTCACACCTGACATCCAGACAACAAAGGAGTTCCCAGATGACGTGGTTACCTTCATACGAAACCATCCGGTCATGTTCAACCCTATCTATCCTTTGGGGAAAAAACCCCTGGTGGTTCGAACCAACACTGACTACAAATATACGTCAGTGGCCGTGGACCAGGTCATGGCTGCCGACGGCAACTACCAAGTGCTCTTCCTGGGCACAGGTGAATTAATCAGCTGACCACAGAGAAAGTTATTTCACACCTTCCTGCAAAACTATTTAAATTAGATGTAGTATACATTTTTAATCAGTTGATAAAAGTGTGCATTAATATAGATTTTTTTTGTGGCGGGTTTTACCAGTAGGTTGAAAAAGGTGCATTTGATTCTTAAAAGATTTTGATTCAGCTTCAGCTGAATCATCCATCACCCAAGCTGAAGTCACTGAGGTAGTCAAGAAGCTTCTCGGTGGCAAGGCACCGGGGGTGGATGAGATCCGCCCTGAGTACCTTTAAGTGGCTGTGGCTCACGAGGTAGGGCAGTCGTCTCCTGACCAGCAAGTTGGTGGTTCGACTCCTGGTCTCCCCGCATGCCTAAATGTCCCTGAGCAAGACACTGAACCCCGAATTGCTCCCGGTGGCTTGATTAGCGCCGTTGTGTGGCAGCTGTCGTCATCGGTGTGTGAATGTTCTGTGTGAATGGGTGAATGGTGTATCATCTCTGTAAAGCGCTTTGGCCAGTGTAACACACTGTGGAAATGCGCTATATAAATACAGTCCATTTACCATTTACT